AGATGGGGGCGGGGCCAGTCAGAGATGGTATTTGCCGCTTCTCCAAACTACTCAAAATTTCTGCTACTGGTTCTCCAGAACTGGTCAGAACCTGCTGAATACCACCTCTGGTTGTACCTGTAATTGCTGCTTATTTCAGGTAGACTGCTATTCCAAGAAGAGGGGCAGCAAGACTTTCACTTAAAAATAAATTAAAAGTAAAGTGTAATTCAGATGTATATTCTAACCTATACATATTTTGTGGTCATATATTTTCATTATTGCTTTTGCCCTATTAAGAATTTCAACTTATGCATCATTTTTATCACTCCCTGGGATCTGCAAGCAACGTTTTTTAAGCCCATATACAGTATTCTTTCACTGTAGTCTGTTTAATTATTGCTGTTGTCAAGTAAGGCTGGAAAACTGCCCATCTGTAAGTATGGAGGTTCTCCTTCAAGATGGACAATAGTTGGCTGGATAGATGCAGAATGTGACTCAGTGTAAGGCAGTTACTTACATTCTTTACTCTCTATTGAAAGCAAATGTATTTAAAAAGCAGCTCAATCTGTTTAGAAGAAATTTACTTATTTCCCTCTTTTTTTGCAATAAATCATCAAACTGATGATATCTGGATTTAATATCCAAATCTAGATATCAGGATCAAAGAGAATGGGGAAAAGAATAAGATGATAATTATTTGATAGAAAGATAGTTGGAAAGCATAACTATACCTTCTCTTTTTATTCCTTCCTCCCCTTTTTCTTACTTTCTTTTTTGTTTTGTTTCAATACTTTCATAGTATTGAAAAATACACGCACACATATCCACGGGTGGGATACGACAGGGTTAACTACCATTTCGGTGCCTGTAAATCATCATCAGCACGTTGGGCGCAGAGAAGCAGCCTTTGAAACAACCCTCTTTTCCTGCTTTTTTAGCTGCAGCTGTGCCTCGTTCGGCAGCTGAAGTTGAAAAATCAAGAAATAAAGATCAGGTAAGAGCCCGGGTGGGCGGATGGGAAAAAACATCAGCATAGAACCAGTTCTATGTCTGCTGCTCTTTAGAGTTACTGGTTCTACAGAGGTGGACAGAACCAGTAGAAACCCACCCCTGCACATACCGTGTATGTTTTGAAAAGGTTCAAAAACAGAAATTAGAATAAGCTCTAGACCAGGGGTCTCCAACCTTGGCTACTTTAAGACTTGTGGACTTCAGCTTCCAGAATTGGCTGAGGAATTCTGGGAATTGAAGTCCACAAGTCTTAAAGTGGCCAAGGTTGAAGACCCCTGCTCTAGACAAAGAATAAAATACAATGAGAAACATCAAGCTTCCAATTTGAGCTTATTCAGCGACAGACCGAAACCACGTCTCTGCGAGGCTTCGATCCGTGCTCGCCGCTGGAGCAGCCTGAGCCGGCTGGTTTCGGGGCTAAGCCACCCCATAGAGGTGGTGAAGAGGGGGGTGACTGCCAGCAGGGTTGAGGAGAGCCACATCACTCCTCCCCAGCTAGCCATTACTCCCTTTCCCAAAGGCAGTTGCAGTGGTGGTCAGAAATGGCCACCACAAAGAAGAACTCGGCCGGAAAAGAATGTGCAGGAGGAAGTTAAGAGGAGAAAGTTTTGGTTGACCAGGTCAAACAGCAAAAGCAACAAATAAGGTACCCTTGAATTGAAACTGTTAAAAAACAATAACATTGTTCCCTAAGAAGATTTTTAAGCTGAAAAGGAGAGAGAAAAGGGAAAAGATTGGGTTTTTTTTCTCCTTTTCCCATACTGACAGCTAAGAGACTTAAGCAAGAAATTGGAAAAAAATCCACTTTGACATCAATAGATATTTAATGCTGAAAATAAAAAGTCAAAGGGATAATAAAGATTTCTGGATTATTAAAAGCTTTTGAAAACAGGAAAGGAGAGAAAAAGAATAAAAGGGTAGGATCTGGAAGGGAGGAGACTGTCTGGAATTAAAAAAAGACCTTACAGCAAAATCTCAACAAGACTTCCAAAAGATATATTCTAACTGAAATATCTCAACAAAAACCCCAGGAAGAGAAAGTCGAAAAAGAAATAAGAAGATATAACTCGGGACTGTCTGGGTTACTTGATGATTTCTGGATTCTTGGTTATTGTTTTGAATAACTAAAATCAATCGGGTGGTTGTTTAAAACTGTTTAAAATGGCTCCACTTTTAGAAGAACTGAAAATGGAACTTAAAAAGTACAAAGAAGATGCACAAGAAGGGAGAGGTTCTTTTGGCTTCGTATTTCAGTTTTTAGAAATGGAGATTTGGAATTACGAGAAACAACAAGAAATGCCTGCAGAACAAGTAGATTGCAACAAAGAAGAAGCCATCTTTAATGAACAAGTAATCTTAGAAGGGAGGAAAAAAGGAAAGTGGGGGAAAGACAATGGAAAGTTTAAGATTGGGAAAAACAACTCCCCCCCAAAATAGAGTGAAAAATAAGTATAAAATCAGAAAGCAACAGAAGAGGGAAATGCAGAAAAGAGAATTAGAACTAGAGAGACAAGGGGGTAAAAAGGGGAGGGAGAAGATGAGAGGGAAGAAAGAAAGGAAAAGAAGTTATAAAGGACAGAAGCAAAATATAGAGAAACAGGGCCTATTTAGAGATAATGGGTGAAAACTTAATGGAAAAAGGATTCTGCAAAGGTACATAAGATAGTATGGTTATATTAGAAGCAGAAATAATTTTAGAAAATATGAAACAATGTATGATTAAAATGTCTGATAAAATAGTTATCGTAATTCAGTGGAATGCTTGTCAATAAATAAATGCAACAAAAGGAATATTTAATGATTTATAAAACATATGTGAAGAGAAATAAGGGAAAAATTAATTATGGAAATTATATGTGTTTTTAAGGAAGTATGATATTTAATTGAAAAGAAGTATTAAAGATGTTATGGTTTTAATGATTATTAATGATAGAACTGAACTGGAATGGAATGAGGGTTTATTATTACATATATTTACAATCTTTCTTTCTTTTTTTTTAAAGAATATAGTGTGTATTATAAGAATGTAGCAAGCAGAATTTGATTGGAAGTTATGAATTATGTATTATATTGAAGGTCATAAACTTAAGGTATATATTGAAGTTTAAATAAGAGTTGAATGGATGTAATTAAAAGATATAAAGGTGTCATACTCCAATTAGTAACTACAGGAGAAAATTTGTTTAATGAGAAAAGATAATATGAAATTCAAACAGAACAGACAAAAGTATAAATATAATGATTTGAATTGAGATGAGATAATCAAAATAAAATTGAGAAAATTAAAAGAGGGGAAATTCTATATAGAAAATGTAAAATAATATAAGACATGGAACAGAATACAAAAAGGAGCATGAAATTGAGTTTTGTGTCTGTATAAAGAAGTTCAACCCCGGGACCATGCTATTTTCAAAAAAGGTGTTTTACTTGTATTTTGTATGTGTGAAAACCCAAATAAAACTTTATTTAAAAAAAAAAACAGAAATTAGAGTAAGCTCTAGACCAGGGGTCTCCAACCTTGGCCACTTTAAGACTGGTGGACTTCAATTCCCAGAATTCCTCAGCCAATTCTGGAAGTTGAAGTCCACAAGTCTTAAAGTGGCCAAGGTTGGAGACCCCTGCTCTAGACAAAGAATAAAATACAATGAGAAACACCAAGCTAATTGGATGAAGTTTCTTCCCAGGCCAAGTTTAACCTGAGATTTCTCTGATCAAATAAGAAGAAAGATCATTTTCCCCAAAAGATTACCATTTCAATGAACAAATATGAGGTAATATTATGAAGAACATGTGATATGCCAACTTGATTTATTTTTTGGCAATGAAGAAGCATGTAAAAATAAAGTCAGTGTGAGGAGGCTTGGCCAACATCAACACAGATGTTAGTGCCCACAAGCACCAGGAAAATACTATTTCTCTGGTTGTTGCAATTTACTAAGCTGGTTTAACATGTAACCATGCTGTAGCCAATTCTGGTTTTCCCATGTACCCCTATGATAACTTTTTTCTTATGTAAAAAGTACAGCTATTATGATTGAAGTTCAGATGACTTGAATCTAATCTTGAACATGGTTGGGAAAATTTAAGCCACTTAGAAACCTATCAGGTTTCTCTTAAAATAATTTTCCTTGTGCAGCTTTCATAAATATATGTCATAAGTAGGAAAGCGATGTCCTTCATAGGTTGGATGATATTAGCTTCAGAAGCAGGAAATCCTTGTTGGCCATTGATATCTCCTTCAGAATGAACATATGATGGGGAAAATGAGAAATTGACATATTGGACAATCTGCATGCAAATCCCAAAATACAATGGAGCACCCATCTTTTTCAGTTTGCAGTGTAAACACAATTTCCAGTTTTCAGGTAATCACAAATCAACAAAAGTTGGTTTTCTTTCTTTTTTTAAATAAACATTATTGTTCTTTTACCTTTTTAAAAAAGCAAAATATAACACTAACAGTACTGTAGCATTGGTATTATACATAATTATCTCTGATGCATATTTACATTTATATACATTGTTATACTATTATATATATTTGTCTATAGTTTGCTTATCTTAAGTTTCTTTATTTTCTATTTACCTAGTTTCCAGTCAATTACACCATGTATCCCAAATTTTATGAAATTCAGACTCTTCTTTATCTTTTAGTTTTCAATCTGTCCATTTTGGCACAATCTAAAAATTTTTGAATTACCAATTCGTCAGGGGAAATGTTATTATGCTTCCAACATTGTGCGTACGATATTCTAGTTGCCGTTAATATGTGTAATACAATATATTTAATCCTTTTCTCGTATTTCCTTTTAAATATTCCTAGCATAAATAACTCCAGTTCAAATTCTATTTGTTTGTTAACAATTTCTTGTAACCATTGCCTTATTTTGGTCCAATGCTTTTGGGCTTCTAGACAGGACCACCACCTGTGGTAGAAAGTACCTTGTATCTTTTTAAATCAAAATCAATAAAAGTTGATTTTCAGTGCAATATAATTTGTTTCACAGGCTCAGGCTGCATGAAGAAAAAATTATTAAGGACCGAAGGCACCACCTGAAGACCTACCCAAACTGCTTTGTTGCCAAAGAATTGATTGACTGGCTGATTGATCACAAAGAGGCCTCTGACAGGGAGACAGCAATTAAACTCGTGCAGAAGTTACTGGATCGTAGCATTATCCATCATGGTAAGTGAAAAGAATCAATGTTCTCAAGCTGTTATCTAGAAATGCTACTTAGGGCTTCCGAAAGATCTCAGGATACATTGAGTGCTGTAGTTTGGGAATATAACATGAAATCACAAAACTTAAATAAAAAACATCTGGAGTGTTTCATCCCAATTTCCTGTGTTTTATGTTTCAGTTTGTGATGAGCACAAGGAATTCAAGGATCTCAAACTTTTCTACCGCTTTAGGAAAGATGATGGGACGTTCCCACTTGACAACGAAGTGAAGGCTTTCATGAGAGGACAGAGAATATATGAAAAGTACGTTCCACGCACAGTAGGTGAAAAGGGACAGCTAGTCTTTCCCACTGTTCTCTTTTGTTTCTGATGTTCCATTATGGATGTTGTGTCATATCTAGGCAAAAATCAACGAGTAGTCCTTACTGGGTCTAAGTCTACATGGAGGGAAGTAAGCAGTGGGGTGTCACAAGGTTCGGTCTTACGGCCAGTACTCTTCAATATCTTCATGAACGACTTAGATGAGGGAATAGAAGGGGAACTTACCAAATTCGCAGATGATACTAAGCTGGCAGGAATAGCTAACACCCATCTAGATGGATCTTGACAGACTAGAACACTGGGCCATATCTAACAAAATGAAATTCAATATAGAGAAAAGTAAAGTCCTACACTTAGGCAAGAAAAACCAAAAGTACACATATAGACTGGGTGAAACCAGGCTCAATAGCAGTAACTGTGAGAGGGATCTTGGAGTCTTAGTGGACAACCAGCTAAATATGATCCAGTAGTGTGCAGCGGCAGCCAAAAAAGCTAATGTAATCCTAAATTATATTAACAGAGGGATAGAATTAAGATCAAGGGAGGTACTAATACCACTCTATAAAGCCTTAGTAAGACCACACCTAGAGTACTGCATCCAGTTTTGTTCACCACATTACAAAAAAGATGTTGAGACTCTAGAAAAAGTGCAGAGAAGCTTAACTAATATGATTAGAGGACTGGAGACTAAAACATATGAAGAACGGTTCCAGGAACTTGCCTTGGCTAGTCTAGTAAACAGAAGGTCCAGGGGAGACATGATAGCTGTCTTCCAATATTTGAGGGGCTCCCACAGAGAGGAGGAGGTCAAGCTATTTTCTAAAGTGCCTGCAGGCCAGACAAGGGATAATGGATGGAAACTGAACAAGGAGAGATTTAACCTGGAAATAAAGAGAAACTTTCTGACAGTGAGAAGTCAAGCAATGGAACAGCTTGCCCTCAGAAGTTGTGGGAGCGCCATCACTTGAGACTTTTGAGAAGAGATTGGACTGCCGTTTGTCAGAAATGTTGTAGGGTCTCCTGCTTGGGTGGGGGTTGGACTAGATGACCTCCAAGGTCCCTTCCAACTCTGATTATCTGTTATCTGTTATGGCCCTTTTCGGAGAGAAGAGTGTTGGGACCAATGCTTGCAAAACCACATCCAATATAAAGGAAATAAATTTCACAATAACAGAATAACAGAGTTGGAAGGGACCTTGGAGATCTTCTAGTCCAACCCCAGCACAAATGCCTGTGAGTTGCTCAGTAGCCAGGGAATACCGATTAAGAGTTAACTTGTGCAGCTATAGAAATCAAATCAATCAATAAAAATAAGTTGCGGCGGTGATGAAATCAAGTGTGATCACTAGTGAGAATGGAATATAGTGGAACATAGATCTAGTTATACTTGCTCCTTGTTGTCCATCAGTGTTGCTTGGTGGGTTTGTTCAATGTTTATGGAGGCTCTTAGTCATCCAAGTCAGGGGTCTCCAACCATGGCAACTTTAAAGACTTGTGGACTTCAACTCCCAGAATTCTGGGAGTAGAAGTCTACAAGTCTTAAAGTAGCCAAGGTTGGTAGACCCCTGATCCAGGTCATGGTTGTCCCAAAGGTGTTTTTTCAAGAGGCAATCGGACTTTCTGTTTTTTCTTTGAAGATGTTTTTTCTTCTCATCCAAGAAGCTTCTTCAGCTCTGAAGAAGCTTCTTGGATGAGAAGTGAAACAGTTGCCTCTTGAAAAAGCACCTTTGGGATGGTGGATTTTCTTCAGCCCCTGGAGCTTCTCAGAGATTGAAGGCACCTCCTTGGATTGGTAGAGAAGATAGAGTTAATACTATGTAGCAGCTAAGTTGCCTGTCATCCAGAAGATAAACAGTCATCCACAAAACTGCCCTCCAGAACACTGGGAAATACCCTAGATATACCCTGGAAACTCTCTGCATCCATCAGGGGCCTGGGGCGGGCCACCTTAAACTGGCCCATCGTTCCTACAGCAGCTGGTAGCTCCAATTAATGGCATGATCATGAGGAAGCAACCTGTCCATCTTTAAAACCCTAAGTGGATTCAAAACTGCATGTTAGAATATTGCTGTCCTGTGTGAATTCTCCTGTCCTCACCTGTGTTGTTTGGGTCCATGGTGAAGAAAAGTTTGAGAACCATTGCCCTATACCTTTTCAGACAAATGGTTGTCCAACCTCTTCTTTAAAATGTCCAGTGAAGGAATACTACTGTGTTTCCCCGAAATTAAGACCCTGTCTTATGTGGTTTCTTTCCACTAAAAAAGGCACCAGGTCTTATTTTGGGGGGATGTCATCCACTGACTCACCTCATTTGCGTGCGTCACCCCCGGCCTCCTTTTCATTGTCAGAAGCCTTCAGGAACTTCTTCTTCTGCCACTGGCAAGACTGGCAAAGCTTTCCTGAAGGCCTCTGCAGCCAATAACAGAACTCTAGATCGATCCAGAGCTCTGCTATAGGCTGCAGAGTCCTTCAGGAAAACTTTGCCAGCCTTGCGGGCTGCAGAAGAAATGGGCTGGCAAGGGTATGCAAGGCCTGGCTACAGCTGTCGGAAGGTAGGGCAGCTCCCCCCCTGCCTCCCCTAACTTATTTTTTACCCATGCACCCCGGAGTTAGGGTCTTAATTAGGGTTTATTTTTTGTGGGGGGGTAGGACTTATATTGAGTGAACGTGTAAAAAATCAAGCTAGGACTTACTTTCAGGGTTGATTTTCAGGAAATCTTCAGACCTGGGGAAACTGTGTGTGTGTGTGTGTGTGTGTGTGTGTGTGTGTGTGTGTGTGTGTGTGTGTGGGGGGGGGGGGGGGGGGGGGGGCAAGCGGTTTAGACCAGGGGTATCCAACCGTGGCAACTTTAAGACTTGTGGACTTCAACTCTCAGAATTCCTCAGCCAGCTTTGCTGGCTGAGGAATTCTGGGAGTTGAAGTCCACAAGTCTTAAAGTTGCCAAGGTTGGACACCCCTGGTTTAGACTAATACCAACGGTGACTTCAACTTTCATACGGATTGAAAAATACAAGAAAGAGGAGGGGCAGAACTAACATTTCTTCCAAACTTCCCGGGTTTGAATTTCTCAAGGCATTCTGCAGAGTTCCAGAGGGAGAAAATAGAACAGCTGAAATATCAACAGGAGCTGGACATAGCCATCCGATGTTACATGTCCTTATCTGCTGATTTTAGAGGGGGAATCCCATTATAAATCAATGATTTATGGGATGACTGAGACAACCACAACACAGAAGACATATTTTGTGGTGTTGGGGATGGTTTGTTGTCCGAGCTTGTTTAGTTTCCAAACATTTCGTCACCAGTCTTGGTAACATCATCAGCGGTTGAAGTGTCTTGTTTAAGGCCTCTTCTGTTTTTATATGTCTTGTGTGGTCAGTTGGTCACCGTGGCTGACTGGGTGACTTCACCACCAGATGTCCCTCACACGGCTTGACCTGTTGGTCACATGACACATGAGATCTATAAAAGCAAAAGAGAACCGAAACAAGATGTTTCAACTGAAGTTCCGGCGATGATGTTACCGAGCATGGCGACAAAATGTTCAGAAACTAAACAACAAGCTTGGACAACAAACCACCACCAACGTCTACCACATGGCCTATAAATATTTTCCACTATTTCTAATGTTTGTGATGTTTAAATGTTTTTTTCATTTTTTTTTTTTAGCTTACCAGCATGTTTTATTACTTTACAGCTTGTATATAACATCATTCTGAGTTGCTGGTTTGGTATGGGAAAACTGGGGTTAAGTACCATCTATGTCTAAAAGAATTAATATACACATTACTCATTAAATTGCATGATTTTCATCCTGTCCTAGCACTTGTAGGGTTTTTTTTAATTCTCCCAAGAGAAATATTATGCTAAAACTAGCAAAGGTTATGGAAGATAAATCCACAACATATCATTAAGATTCAGAACAGAGGGTTGCATGGGGAATATTGAATGTCATGCCAGATTGTTTGGGTCAAATAACAATGGAAGTAAATCATACTCTCTGTTCACAATAAGAGGCATGTAATTTTTGCTCAAGTTTTGCAGCTTGCTCGGAACATGGGTGCTGACATTTACTAGTAGTTGACATTTACTAGATCTGAGTAGTACAAAAGGTGAACCATTGTGTAATTGGGCAAATTAAACAGGAGGCTTTGGGACAATGCTCCCTATCTGAATAAGCAAAGGTCGCTATTTATGGAGTACCTTGTAGAGGAAAAAAAAAGTTGCATTTTGATTATCTGTTGCAGATGACGGTATTATAGCAATAGCACTTAGACTTATATACCGCTTCATGGTGCTTTGCGGTCCTCTCTAAGCGGTTTACAGAGTCAGTATATCATGTCAAAATGAAGAAAAAGGGAGATGGAAGCTGTACAGATTGTACATAGTGATAGATGAAGGGTTGCTTTTACAAATTACTTACAAATCGAAGTGCAGCTGTTTTTATTTAAATGTTCATAAGAACACGTGGAGGTGCCATTAAAGATGAGCCCTTAAAGGTGATTGTCAGTGGTTGGTTAAGATCATCCTTTTCTGATACCTAAACAAGTAGCTCAAGAGATACTACAAATAACTCCCTTGTTATGTAGTCCCTATTTGGGGTAAGAGTCAAGGTGACTGGATGGAGCTGAGCATGTACTGGGTGAATTCCCTTCCTGATGCCCACCCAGAGTTCACAGCAGATTTTTTTTTTCTTCCTTGCACCCTAAGAGAGAATCATCTGCCGCTACCTAGGATTGAACTCTCAACCTTCCAAGTGGGAGGTGAGCATCTTCACCACTAGGCCACCCCACTTCTCTCGAGAGATACCGTGATATCAAACACCATTGAGAGATCTATCAGCACAAAGGTGACCAGAGAGAGAGTTAAAATGAAGCTGGTATTGTTAATGATCAAACACATTGTGAATCATTTTTCTAATACTTTAAAAAACCTGCAAAACCTGTTTGAACAGCATGCTAATTGAAGAAATGAGAGAAAGTCATGGTTTGTTCTGAGATTACTTGATTTTTATTTCTATTTTGGAATCCTATCCAGACCTCCAAGAATGGCCCTGTGGTAGACATATGTTTATCCTCTGCTTCTTTTCAGTTGTTCTTTCTTTTCTTTTTTTTAATGCCTTGAGGCTGATTTTGTTTACAGTAGCCAATAAAACAATTTGTTCTTAGTGTTAGGGATACCAAAAATGAGAAGGCCTGCTGTGGTTTTGCTACTCTGTTTGTAAGCCACAAAGAAGAAGCTGTTTAACAAAAAAGAGGGAACTAGGAAGGGTTCATGGCCTCGATTTGAGTCAGATATTCCAATTTGTAATTTTTTCTAAAGGAGATTTGGAAGATGCTCTTTGCCCCAGTGACAGAATATAAACAGACACTTTTAAAGTGTCCTGTTCCTACCTCCTTGAAAAAAAACACAACTTTATATAGTCCACCACAACCACAGCAATTTCTAACATCACTTGATGAAAGGGAAAGCTGGTTATTCTCTGTGTGGTTTTAAGACAAGCCAAATTCTGCAGCCAAGAATCCTGATTTCTGAACTCAAAATAAGTACATGGATATGATGGAAATGCTTGTTTAACTCATAGGAATTAATAAGCTTACTTGATCCAGAACTCAATAACTAATGATTTGGAAAGAGAGATATCTCCAAATACATTAACTAACAATCTATTCAACATTATACATCAGTTTAAAATCTTTCCCTTCTTAGTGGATTTTCCATGGAAGGTCGAAAAATCGAAGGTGTGTCCAAAAACCAGGGAAGAATTGCAACAGGATGAAGACGATGGCTGTTGGACTTCCAGAAAATTCTGTGAATGAATTGGATTAAAGTCAACATCTCAATTGAAAACATCCTTTTTCAAACCATTTAATCTTCAAATCCAAGATTGGCTTTTCCTGTTTCCTGCTATTTGTCAAGAACCAAATAAGAATTCTTTCCCAGGCGTACTATTTTGGCTTCTCTGTAAGGGGGATTGAATGTAGCAAGGCTGATGGTTTTGCAGTGGTGGTATTCGACTGGTTCTGCCCGGTTCTGGAGAACCGATAGTGGCAATGAGCAGTGGAGACCGAACTGGTTCTCTTCGCTGCTCTGTGGTTGGCCCACCCGCCCGTCCAGGCTCCCATACTTACTTTTATGGCCAGAATTCAAAGTGCAGCTGCTTTGCGCAGCGCAGAATAGCGCTGCACGGCAGCTGCTGCAGTGGCCACCATCGTGCAGGCTTGCAGGAGGCAAGTTAGAACACCTCTGTGCCTGCGCAAAGTGCGTGTTTGGCGCGTGTGTGCACACAAAGTGTATGCATGCGCGCAAAGTGCAGCCACCAAGCCACGTCTACCGAACCGGTGGCAACTTTATTTGAATACCACCACGGTTTTGCACTCACCATTTGGTAAAATGTGGTTTGCTTTTTCTTATGCCAATGGAGCAGAGGTGGTATTTAGCAGATTCTGACCCGTTTGTATCTATTGTGTGCTCTTGTGTTGTTATGGTTGAAGCTGAAGTATTCATTGACAGGTAGGACATTGCAATGTATGATTTTATACACCATACTTAGATCAGACCGAAGACGGCATAATTCAAGGTTTTCTAGGTCTAGAATTCCAAGTCTGGTGGCATCAGGTATTCTACAACGAGTAGAGGAGTGGAGAACTCTTCTTGTGAAATATTTCTGGACTTTCTCAACTGTGCTAATATCAGGTACGTAATGTGGGTTCCAGACTGATGAGCTGTGTTCAGGTATTGGTCTAGCAAATGTTTTGTGTGCTCTAGTTAGTAGTGTGATATTACCAGAGAAAAAGCTATGTAGGATCAGGTTAACAACTCTTAATGCCTTTTTGGCTATGTAGTTACAGTGTCATGTAGTTTGGCTATGTAGTTACTTGTATCAATACTGAAGAAGAAATTAAAGAGGAGCAGCACAAATTCTGAGACCCCATCTAAACTCTACATTATGTTGAAGCTTCAAAAATTAAAAAAAAAAAACCAAAAAAACTATATCAAACTGTCTTCAACTTAATATTTTCCAGATGTATTTGGATTGCAGCTCCCAGAACTTCCAACCAGAATGGATAAATTCTAATACTGTCTGTAATTTTTAGAAGCCATAGTTTCTATACATTTGGAAAATATCCATTTGGGGAAGGCAAGTGGATTAGTTGAATTATAACCTGGTCCACAAACTACCTATTGATTTCCTATGAAAAACAGAGACCTAATTGTAGCTTTGCCTGTGGAATGTATCTTGCCTTTTCTGCGTTAGTTTTCTTTTTTATTATTATTAATTTATCACATAAAATGCAAGAGAAAAGATAGGGGAGGGGAAAGGAAGAGAAATGTGTAGGAAAAAGGGGGAAAAGAAAGAAAAGGCATTGACTACCGACTCCCTTTGGTGCAGTTGAATAAAATAATAAAACCAAACCTCACCTTTTTATTTTTACGTAATAGTATAAAGTAGCCATTTCTATAACACTGAACCTATCTAATTGGTAAAACCGAAATTCAAAGTTTCATCCCCGCTCCTTTCCACAAGCACAAAGTCCAGGCGCAGTTTCTGCTTTAGTTTTCTGAGTTCAATTTGCATAAGAGAGCAGAGCAGATAGTACTGGCTTCAACCATGTGTAAAATCAGCTCGATAAGCAGGAAGCTAAACTCGGGATCATATGCTTTATTAGATCAAAGCAATTGCTTGGATCATTCATTCATTCATTCATTCACTCACTCAGAAATTGGAACCTTATGAATGAATTTCTGCAATAGAGGTAGTCCTTCACTTACAATCACAATTGGGTCAGGAAATCCGGTTGCAAGTCATTGTGAATGTAAGTCGAGGCATCCCACATGACCTCATCTGTTTTTCCAACAATTTCCCAAACACTACGGTCGTTAAGCGAATGGTGTGGTTGTTATGCGGACCCATTCTTCCAAAAGAGCTTTTTTTTTTGCATGGATGTGGGACACTGGCAAAAAAAAAAGTCACACATCATGGTCATGTGTCCATGGTATGTGGCAACATACAGGTGAGTCTGTTGTCAAGCACTTGGAATGTGGTCATGTGACCAGGGGGTTGGCGGTTGTGGTCATGTGACCAGGGGGTTGGCGTGACGTTTTACAACATTCAGAAGTGCTTTACAGCAGGGGTCTCCAACCTTGGCAACTTTAAGCCTGGCGGACTTCAACTCCCAGAATTCCCCAGCCAGCTGGCTGGAGAATTCTGGGAGTTGAAGTCCGCCAGACTTAAAGTTGCCAAGGTTGGAGACCCCTGTTTTACAGTTCATAAAACACCCATTCTGAGCTGTAAAAATGACCGGTTGTAAGTCAAGGAATATACCTGTTTGATATTCTTCTGTGAATGCTAACAAAACAAAGGAGATCATTGTTGGTTTTAGAAAGAGCTGGCATAGTCACACTCCACTTTATATCAAGACTGAAGCTGTGGAAATGGTCAATAGCATTAAGTATCTAGGGGGTGCAGATAACTGACAATCTGACTTGGTCTCTTCATATATTATCTTTAGTGAAGTGTGCCAATCAGTGTCTGTATTTTCTGTACCGGATGTGGAGTGTACATCTGCCTCCTTTTGTCCTGGCCACTTTTTACAGAGGCACGATTGGAAGCTTTTTAACAAACTGTATCATTGTTTGGTTTGGTGGCAGCAGTGCCTCAGATAGAAAGTCCATACAGAGAGTGGCAAGGACAGCTGAGAAGATCATAGGAAGCTCACTTCCCGGTATTCAGGATGCTGCTTCTAAGCCTATGTGCTTAGAGCTCAAAGCATTGTTAGAGACCCCACATACCTCTTCATGGTCTGTTTCTGTTGCTCCTTTCTGGGAGGAGGTTTCGAAGTATCTATAGTAGGACTACTACATTCTGTAGCAGCTTTGATCCTATGCCATCCGTCTTGTAAACTCACAGGTTCTTTTTTTTTCACCATGTGTATGTATACATTTTGAAGTAATCGATGATGTTTCTCTGTGTGATATATGTGTGTGGGTGTGAGTATATGCATAATGATTGTGTTTTGAGAGCTGAATGCACAGAAATTTCATTTAAATATGTGCTGATTAGTGTACACTTAAAGTAACAATAAAGATTCTATTCTATTCTATTCTGTTCTGTTCTGTTCTGTTCTGTTCTGTTCTGTTCTGTTCTATTCTATTCATGTATGCATTGACCCTTTCCCTTTCCAATCCCTACTTTCATTGCAGGCTTATGAATACTGAAAATGTTATTTTACAAGCCAGAGAAGAAGAAGGAGCAAAATATGAGCGTACTTTCATGGCGTCTCAATTGATTGACTGGTTGATCCAGGAAGGGGAGGCTGCCAACAGAGCTGAGGCTGAACAACTCGGCCACAGACTTCTGGAGCATGGAATTATCCAACACGGTGAGAAATGTCTTCTCAGTCACTATAACTCTTATCAAGATGACAAAGGATGATAAAAGGAGTGGAAATATGGTATGAGAGGCATCCTGTTTAAACCCAAGAATGGGGAACCATTTTTAAGGTCAAAATGGCATTTTGGCTAAAAATGGCAGCCTCCACTTTTCCATGTTTGGATTTCATTCTGAGTATTATTCTTGGTATACTTCATCCAGCCAACTGTAGATCATCAGATATAAATGGCCAATTGTCAGGTGTGGTTAATCCATCTTCCTTTTTCTTGTAATTCCGTTTTGATGGAATTTCCATGGATAGCTACATGTACAGCTAACAACTTCCTTGCATTCACCTGGAAGGGTCAATCATCTAAGTCATGGTCATCCCAAAGGTGCTTTTTCCAAAAGACAATGGGACTTTCTTGGTTTTTGGTTTTTGGTTTTTGCTTTGAAAACATTTTGCTTCTTCAGCTTCATGGATGAGAAGTGAAATGTTTTCAAAGAAAACAAACAAACAAACAAGAAAATCCAGTTGTGTTTTGGAAAAAGCACCTCTGGGATAACCATGACTTAGATCAGTGATGGCTAACTATGACATGCGTGTCACTCATGACACGCCGAGGCACTTTGACTGACACGCCTGTTGGTGTGGGGAAAACCTGCACATTTAGAGGCTGCCTGTGCTCTGCTCCAATCCCTGCTCCCTGCTTGTTGCGTGGAGTCGTGGTGTCACTGCTGCCACAAGATCTTTGCAGCAGAGAACCAGTTTTAACCGCCATAAACTGAGGTTTGTCAGTTTCATTACCTCAGGAATGCTACAGGAGGAAAGGAGATCCATGAGGTTCACAGTCCTGTAAGGTGGCCTTCCGATCCCCACATCCTGCACCTGCAGCCCTGAGACCAGGGAGACAAGTTTCACAGCCCTGTGTGATCACCCCAGCCCAGTCCGTCATAAATCAAATTATTGATATTTCTTGAAGTAACACACGACCCGAGGAAGGCTACACTTTTTCCTGATTTTTGACACACCAAGCTGAAAAGGTTAGCCATCACTGACTTAAATGATTGAGAATCTCCATAGACACATCCTATCAATCAGTAGAACTGTCAGCCTCCAAGATTTCTTCTTGACTCTTTCCAGCTGCCATAGAAACTGGGGGAAGAATAACATGGCTTCATGGAGGGAAGGGTGCTGGAGTTGAAGTTTTGTGAACTGTAAATGTTGGGATGCTTTTCTGCTTACTGCGCAAATGCAGCCACTTATCTTTTCTAGGCCAAGGTCAACCATCTTGGCATACCAGATGTGAAGATGTAACCCACATGACATTATACACACCTCAGATTGGATGACCAGTTTGAATTGTTGGCGGTGGGGACTTGGGATAACTTTCTAAATGTAATTTCTGCGCCTTTTGCCTCAGATCTTATATTTCTTCTGTTGATACCACTTCATATTCAGTAAAAGTCCTTCTCTCTATAAAAATGGAGTCTAAGATTTTCTTTCTTGGATTTTGAATGGAGTAACACTTGACAAGAACATTTTGATTGCGGGCTTTTTTGTGGTTTCCATTCCTCTTATTCAAGAAATGGATATCTTTTCTTCCTTACTTCCATTCTCAGGGTGGTTTTGGCAATGTTCATAATAATCATTTCTACATCGGGCAAAGCTGTCATTCTTAGAGCAGTATACATTTCAAGGAATCTAACCAAAATGCTGTCTAAAAATGAAGGCCAATTTAAACGAAGGGAGCGGGGTTTTTTGCTTTCCCTATCATAAGTGAAATTAATTCCTGGATAAAGTATCCGGTCTCTGTTTCTGTTGCTGGTGGGCCAGGAACATAACAGTTCTGCTAATGATAAGAAAGTAGATTGGGAACTTAAGAGCGGTTATGTTTTCAAAGCCAAAAGAAATGATGGGAATATTGTCCCCCAGAGCAAATCTGTTACTTGGAAATGTAGAGTCACAATGATGTTCATGTTGCGCAAAGAAAATTTTAAACAGTCACTAAATGAACTGTTGTAAGTTGAAGACTACTTGTATAGGCACAAAGTTAACCTTCATTTCCTATCCTGCAATAATCCTGCTTCTAAATTGCAGACTTAATTGGAAATAACCTCCCTCCTTCCCTCCCTCTTTTTTTTTTTCTTTCTTTCTTTCTTTCTTTCTTTCTTTCTTTCT